TGAAAATATGAGGCTATTTAATTTCACTTATAGGAATCCTATAGGAATTTAATAAGAAAATGGATACAGGAGTTCATACCATCCTACACACACACCTTAGTACACCTAACGTACACCTTAGTAGGCAGAACATGTGTTATAATTGGTAGAATGAAGGACTTTAAGTCAAAAAAATTTAAAAAAACCTTGAATAATTCCTTTAGAAGAACATTTTATAACCCAGGGGAGGCTCTTAAGCTATCTTCATGGGCAATTGTTTTTCTCATTCCAATTAATGAACTGTTTTGTATGAAACACGATTTCTTGCCACAAGCAAATTTTTACTATTTAGCATGTCAAATTCCTCCTCGTTATACCACCAGTATTTGTTTCATTCAAATATAACTTTCACTCAGAGTCTTATACTACGTGCATAAAATTGAAGTCCGGTATATTCTAAGATAGAAAGTTGGAAAGATGAGGGAAAAGCTGAGTGTGTAAAATCAGCATCTTATGATCAAAATATATGACTATCTACATGTGTCGTTAAAAATGCTCCCTTTTCAGCTACCATGTCAGCAACAATTTTTAAGGAAATCTTAAAAAGAGTAGTTTCCCACAATTTATCAGTTTTGCCTAAGAATCCAGCGTAACCTCCCTTCTATCTCACCAGATGTAAATATCTATGTCAAAATATGAGTATGATTTTCATTCTGATTCCTTTAAAACATCTGCTGTCCCATAGATAAAAACCCTTTGCCAATTGTTCAAAGAAAATTTGGTTCCAAACCAATGGAATTGCCCTACACGTTTGAAAAATGTTCTATGCAAGGAAGTATTGATTCTAGTGAATACACACGGGACTCATTAATCTGAATCACAGAGTTGGTGTTTTCTACCCAAATGTAAATGGTATTAGGCATAAAAATTCTATCTCACAGAAAATGTGGAATTATGAAAAATACAACCAATGTCCAAGAAAACTTACTTCACCTGCAAAATGTCTAAAAAGTCAACCTAAATTATGGTACATAATTGTGAAAATTGCATTTTTAAAAAATTTAATCAAGAGTAAAATGATTAAACATCAGCAAATAAAAATTAGGAAATAGTCTGTGAGATATTTGAATGATTCCCAGAACAAAAACCAACATGTGCATTAACATAAGAAAAGTCATTTAAAAATAAATCAGACTTCAAACCAAAATAACTCAAATGTCAGGTTGAAGAGTTTTCATGCTCTATTTGTGAATGTTTTTAACATTTAATTACTTTGTCATAAATTAGAAAAAACATTAGAAATAGAGGCATCTCAGAAAAAAGAAAGAAAGGGAGGAAGGATGGAAGGAGGAGGGGAAGGGGTGGATAGAAAGAAGGAAAGAAAAAAAGAGAGGAAGGAAGAAAGAAGAAGACATCTTTTAAAAAGTGAAAAAAAAAATAAGAAGTGTTCTTTGGGACACATTGCCTAGATTTTCACGCCATTGAACTGATTTGTTCTCCTTGACCTCAAGTCAAGTGATGGCCATGCCTCGTCATGCGTGTTTTTCATTACATAATATTTGTCATGCCTTGTCCAATCTCCTAAATGATATTTTTCTTAAGTTATACATAAACTTGATGAAATAAATGAAGCATTTTTTTTGGTAACTAAAATCTTAATGAAATAAAGTTGGCAAATAGAAATATATAAATAAGTGCTATTTACATATATGACATTTCAATACTGGGCAAATACAGGAGGTCTGATAGTAATCCTTGTCATGGTACATTATGTATAATCTCAATGTATTCTATTGTAAATTTATCAAAAAATGTCAATCCCTTGGTTTACTATAAAGAATAATGTTCAATGATGAACCTAGCAAATGCAATCTTATAAAAAACCCTATTAAGTTGGTAACTTCAATTTTACTGAAGTATGTATGTATTGGAATATGTTGATTTCACTGAGAATCTATAAATTTACTAAGACTCCGAAAGTCTCCATATTTAGAGAGTCAATTACTGTTGATAAGCAATGTTACTGTGAAATTTATAAGTATTTCCACTTAATTTCCAGGGTTAAATTCATTGACTGAATGCATTAATTAGAACATTTAAATTATTGTTTTCATACTCATTATGCAGTATAATATTTCCATGCATGAATAATAATTTATGTAAATAGCATCATTCCAAATCACTGCCAGAAAACTATGGTGTTCAATGCCCCGATCAAACTTGTTATCAAGGTTATCATGTTTAGACATTTTTTTTTAATTTTTTATTTTTTCAGCATAACAGTATTCATTGTTTTTGCACCACACCCAGTGCTCCATGCAATCCGTGCCCTTCCCTAATACCCACCACCTGGTTCCCCCAACCTCCCACCTGCCGCCCCTTCAAAACCCTCAGGTTGTTTTTCAGAGCCCATAGTCTCTCATGGTTTACCGCCCCTTCCAATTTCCCTCAACTCCCTTCTCCTCTCCATTTCCCCTTGTCCTCCATGCTATTTGTTATGCTCCACAAATAAGTGAAACCATATGTTTAGACATATTTTAAAAGTTTGAAACGTTTTCTAGAGTTTAAGCAAATGTTCTTAAAAATTCAAACATCAGTCTGGTAATGTTAAATACACTCTAATTGTATCTGGAAAACGGTAGTGGTTTAAGACTACAGAATATTGTGTTTTTGGACAAGCTGATCAACTGTTCTATAACTAAATTAAGTTTCCTTTAGAGGTCTTGGAAACGACATTAGAATCTTATTATAGTATTCGGGTTAGAACACTGACTTGATGGACAGCGTCCTCAAAATGAAAACTCGAGAGAATCAAGGAAATCTGAATCCCCCAGAGGATTCAGTGTTCTGGCTCCCAACGAAAATCGACATAATTTCCTGCCCCTTATTCTTGGTTCTGCTTTATATTTTATTTGGATTGGTATGTCTGTATATTTTATGCATAATTTTCAAGAAAGTCTCCCTTTCTTCAGTGGCAGTACCTACAGCTGTATCTAACTTCCCCGTGGGAACGTGGACTATAGACAAGTCAGCTGGCACTTGCAGTGGAGGTTTTGCTCTCCTCCAGATAAACCCTCCAGGCCCCCATCCTCTGTTGAGACCACAGTTAACTTTATTTCTCCAGGTACTACATATTGATTTTCTCAGGAGACCTTTAAGCTAACGGAGAAGTATTTTTAAAATAGAGATACAAAATATTATATACAATTTTAGTTTTGTTGAAAAAGCACTTTTTAATGCAGTATCTTTTTTTGTTCTCCATTCAAGAAAAAGGCTTGTATCTGCTTGTAAATATCAGACTATATTATAATGTCATTATCTAAAATATAAATTTCAAAAAAAAGCATGTCCGCAGATCAACAACTTTACGATGTACGTTTAACTGAACTCCTGGTTAAGTAGGTTTCCTCTTCGTTTAAATAAAAATAATAATCACTCATCAGTGTTCTTTGCCGTGGAGACAGTCTCCCCGATCGTGTGTTTTAAACCATCAGGAAAACCAGTAACATCCACAACAATAGTGCAGAGTCAGCGGAATTATTCATCTGGCAATTATCCAACATCAACCGCGTTTCCACAACATGTATCTTAGGAAATTGAGCAAAATATCATATCCAAGTAGCAACTCTGTCAGGAAGGAGAGGAAAATTGCCAGTTTCTAAAATATTGGAGCATTATCAACCATCTGAGCAAATACCAGATATGTGGATAGGACAGCCACGGGTAGCTAGGACCAAGTGCCTTAGAAACACTTTCGAAATGTTGAGCAAAAAAGAAATTATGTGAAGTTAGCGTACGTAGGAAGTGGTAGGTATGCGCACATTGGAAAGCTTATAGCACCTATTAACCTTCACTTAGCTTGTTACTCTCCAAAGATTAAGTTACTCCCTGATGGTAACAGACTTAAGCACCTGCAAGTGTATTACATATCCTGCCAGCGTATATGCAAATCCAGGGGCCTGAAAGACACTGGAATCAGAAGAGTAAACAATGCTAACCATCATTCCATCCAAAACATGAAATAAGAGGATAAACAGGTCTGTCTAGATACTTGTGCGAAGACAACATTCTACGCATGTTTTCTGGTAATGCGTAGTAGCCAAGCTGAGCAGCACAAAGCATAGTAGATTTCATCTTTCCACAAAGAACGGTTTTCCCCCAAGTGCACTGAGACTCTGCACAAAAGCATAGGCAGAGGTGACTTAATCCAGAACCACACCCTAACGAAATAAGGCCAAACTACCCATGGGCTTATACCCCTACCCTCAGCCTATTTCCAATTCACAGGCTCGGGAATGTATTCACATTAAAGTTAATAGACTCTGTATTACACAGGAAGGAAAATCTTAAATGTCTCTGTAAAACAAGGTGAAAATAGATAGACCTCAGCATTCACGCTTAAAGAATTACTAGAGTAATTTCTTAAAACGGAATTCCTGAAAGGATCATCTTTACCACCTCCTCTCTCAGAGGCTGAATTCTCTTTCATCTTTTTAAAATGCCTGTCCCCAAGTTCAACAGTAGTTCAACAATATCAAGCCTCCAGTGGGCACCTAGGCACAAAATCTGAAAACACAAAATGCAGACGCCTTGCCATGAAAAAACAGTAAAACCAAAACAATCTTCTCAAGTAAAAGTCGCAGCTTTGACAAGAAAAACTCGCATCGTGGAATTCTCTTTACTTAAGCACTCACGGCATTACTGTCCAGCGAAAAGTTAAGAATTAAATTCTTAAAACACTTCCGAGTTCAAAGTGAATTTTTCACGGAAACAGTGCTGCGAGTTAGTACTCAAAATGATCAAAACTTCTCCGCCCCACGTCAAAAGAAAACCACTTCTCCAACTAAAAAGACTACCGCCCGGAGAGGAAAACGGTAAACACACGGTTCGGCCCGGAAAGTTTGGCAGTGACGGTAGCTGGTGCTGTGCCGTCCTGAATTCGTTGCACAATTGCACTGAGATCCGGAACCCCCAACCGCAAGCAGGAGGAGGTCTGGACAGCATGTCCAGGAATGTCCTACCTTCATACAGGGCCTTGAAGCCTTGGGCGCTCACCGCGAAGTCTGTCGTGAACCACAGCGTGAGGATCGAGCCCGTGCTGACGACGGAGGACGGCAGCTGGAATCCCGACAACCTAAACCATACAGAGCATAGGAACAGAATGAAAAAGCGTAAGTGTGTGATTCAAGCACATTTGATGATGTCATCGCACGTCTCGTTTCACTGCCGCATATTCATCTGAGATATGAGCTAGACAATTACATCATCCACTCTCAAGGTGTGGCCAGGTAATTGTGATGAGGCACGTTCAAGCAACGGTCCATTTAAACCATTTTTTGAGAAAATTCTTTCTTGAAGATATTGCGCAATACACCACTGCAGGAAACAGGGGCATGAAAGTTAAAGTCATCCTCATGCCTGCTACACGAAAAATATGTGATTTGTCGTGCACTTTGATTAATCATTGTCGTCCTAAATTATTGGGTGGTGGGTTGTTACTTCTCCTAGTGTTTTGTTTTTTTTAAAAAGATTTTATTTATTTATTTGACGGACAGAGATCACAAGTAGGCAGAGAGGAAGGCAGAGAGAGAGGAGACAGCAGGCTCCCCGCTGAGCTGAGAACCCGATGCGGGGCTCGATCCCAGGACCCTGAGATCATGACCTGAGCCGAAGGCAGAGGCTTTAACCCACTGAGCCACCCAGGTGTCCCCCACATCTCCTAGTTAATGTGCTTATTCTTATTACCTGCCCCAAATAAATTACAGCTTTCTTGGAAAGAAAACATATACTGGTCACAGCATAATAAACAAAAATCAATTACTGGCTTGAGCAGACGTCAAATGAATTGATTTTAACGTTTGGTTTTCAAGGTAAGTCTTTTGGATTCCTACCTATGTTTTTTCCCCATCACTAAGTTTAGATAGATTTAGAAATTTTAGTGATGATAAACTCAGCAGTCTGAATGAGTGAATTAGGATAATCCTATATATTTTATGCATAATGCCTTATAAAGTAACAGCTTTCCCAAAGGTCGAAGAAATGCTTCATCAATTTATATGTTACCTAAAGTTTGCTAATTAAGTAGGTTGTCTCTAGATATGTGATTTAGTACAGTCCGAAAAGAACGGATTCCAAAAGGAGTAAGTCTGAATGTTCATTCTTTGTAGGGAAATTCTGGCTTTGCCAGTAAGTCTATGGTATTGAATATCTAATTCCAGCTGCTGTAGATTTCAGAATCAAACTAGAAATTCATAAGAGAAAAATGACAGGACAATCACCAGTCCCTAAACAGCACACTTCTAAGTATCCAGGGATCGAAGAGGAAAATGAAGAAAAAAGTACATTGAAATGAATGAAAAGAAAAAGACAAGCTATCAAAAGCTGGAGAACTCAGTTAAGCAATGCTGAGAGGGAAATTAATAGTATTAAAAATACACATTAGAAAACAGGAGAATTCTCATATAAGCAACCCAAACTCCCATCTAAAGAACTTAAGAAAGGATGAAGAAAATAAACGCAAAGCAAAGAGAAGGCAAGAGGTATAAGATAAATGCAGAAATCAAAGTAACTTAAAATAGAAGAAAAACAGAAAAAAAAAATGAAACAGAAGCTGATTCTTTGCAAAGAGCAACAAATGTCTAGCAAGACTGACACAAAAAGTGGTGGCAGGTAGAAGACAAATACCTAATGTCAGGAATAAAATAGCAAATATTACTACAGACCCCACAGACATAAAATAATAAGGGAAAACTACAAAAAATACACACATAAATTTAATAACTTAGAAGAAATAGGCTGCTTCCTTAAAAAAGCACATAGTATCACAACTTACTGAACACAAAACAGAAAATCTGAATAACCCTGTAACTATTAAAACTCTCCCGGAAGAACTCCCCAGGCCAGGTGGTTTTAAGGGAAATTTTACTGGCATTGACTGAATGTCTGTGTCCCCCCAAAAATCACATGTTGAAACCTAACTCCCAAGGTGATGATGTTTAGAAGTACAGCCTTCAGGTAGTCATCTGGTCAGGAGGGCAGAGCCCCCATAAGTGGGATTAGCACCCTTATCAGAGAAATTCCAGAACATTTCCCTCCTCCTTCTATCATGTGAGGAACAAGACAGTAAGAAGTTGCTTCTGTGTAACAGAAAACACTCACACCGGAAACCAGACCAGCCAGCACCATGATCCCGGACTCCCTGTCTCAGTAACTGTGGGAAATAAATCTGTGCTGTTTCTGAGCCGCTTGGTCTGTGCTATTCTGCTGTATACACTTGGACAGCTACCCAAATGCACTAAGACATCTACCAAACATTTGAAAAATAAACATCTATTTTACAGTCTCTTCTAGAAAACAGAAGTGGACAGGCAACTTCCTTGTGTGTTTTACGGCATTAACGTTACCCTGTGCTAAGGATTGAATCACTGCCCCCAGATTCACATACTAAACCCCTTACTGCTCAGTGTAACTGTATTTGGAGACAGGGCTTTCAGGAGATAATTAAGATGAAATAAGGTAATAGTGGGAGGTGTTGATCTGACTTTATATAATGCTCTTCTAAAGGAATTATTCAAGGTTTTGTTTTTGTTTTGGTTTTGGTTTTGGTTTTAAAATCCTTCATTCTGTCAGTTTTAACATGTGTTCTGCTTACTAAGGTGGCTTCATAAGAGCAACAGAAAAAGAAAGAGATTCCCACCTGCCCCCAACATGCATTCGCTAAGCAGAGGCCATATGAGCAATGCTGAGAAGCAGATGTCCGCAAGGCAGGAAGAGTCTTCCCCAGAAGCTGATCATGCCGCCCTCTGCTACCAGGTATCCAACCTCCAGAACTGTGAGAACACAGATCTCCGCTCTTTAAGCCACTCAGTGTATGACATTTCATTGTGGCTGCCCAAGATCAGATACCCCGATACCAAAACCAGACAGAAACTTTGCAAGAAAACAACGAACCAATATTAGCTCTCAAAAATATGGGCATGAAAATTTTTAACAAAGTAAGAGCAAACAGAAGAAATATATAACAAGAATGATCCCTCATAACCAAGTTGTATTTATTCCAGGGATATAAATATGGCTCAGTATTTGAAAATCAGTCAATATAATCTGCTATCATGATGGCCTAAAGAATAAAATCACTAGATCGTGATAATCTATGTAGAAAGAAGGCATTGAACATATTTAAACACCCAATCATGAGAAAACTTTCCAGTAAAATATGAATAGAGGAAAACTTCCCCAACTTGACAGTGGATATCTTAAAAAACCTAAAGCCAACATGACACTGGGTGGTGTAAGACTGCAGGCTTCCCCTAAGACTGAGAACGAGGCAAGAATGTCTGGTCTCATTAGTTTTATTCAACATTGTGCTGGGAGATCTAGCCAGAGCCATAAGCCAAGAATAGAAAACAAATGCATATGGATTAGGATGCAAGAAATAAAACTGCCCCTCTTTGCGGGTGACACAACTGTCTACATAGATAGTGCCAAGGGGTCTATAAGAAAATGCCTGGAAATAATACTTGAAATGAGCAAGTGCACAGGATACACAATGAACATACCAAATTCAGTGGTATTTCTGCAGACCAGCATGGAACACACAGGCCCAAAATGAAATATTATAATGCCACTTACGATCACTTAAAAAAAGACTTAGCTGTAACAAGAAGGGCACAAAACTATACCCTTGAAACTGTGCTCTGCTGAGGAAAGAAATCAGTAAGAAGCTAATAACTGTAGCAATACACCATGCTAACAAGTTGGAAACCTCAACACTATAAAGATATCAATTCTCCGCAAATTTATATACAGGTTTATCATTGTTACTATCGAAATCCCCACAAGATTTTTTTGAAGATATGGACAAGATTCTTCTAAAATATATTTTAGAAGAAAGCCTTCAAGACCCAAGATGCCTGGGTGGCTCAGTAGTTTAAGTGTCTGCCTTCGGCTCACGTCATAATCTCAGGGTCCTGGGATCAAGTCCCGCATCGGGCTCCCGGCTCAGCAAGGAGCCTATTTCTCTCTCTCCCTCTGCTGTTCCTCCTGCTTGTGTTCTCTGTCTCTCTCTCTCTCTCTCTTAAATAAATAAATATTTTTTAAAAAAAGCCTTCAAACCCCAATAGAATAGTTTAAATAATTTCAGAAAGAATAAATCAGGATACTCATTTTCAAGACTGATTTTATAAATTTAGTAACAAGATCATGTGGTAAGGGTAAATTAACAGATCCATACATCAGTGGATAAGAACACAGAACCCAAAAACAGACCCACACAGACATGCCCAACAGAGTTCACAGTGTAAGGCAGGTCAGTACAGTAGGATAACCGTTCGACAGTGATGCAGGAACAAATGGGCATCCACACGCTGCCACAACAAAACTGAGCCTCTAACAGAATCCAACTCTGTATAATTGTTAACTCATGGATCATAGACCCAAAGGTAAAGCTATGAAAATTTTAGAAAAAAAACAGAGAGGAAAGTCTAGAACTAGCTGAAGAATTCCTAGACTGGACACCAAAAGCACAATTTATAAAAGGAAACGGACATATTAGACTTCATAAACATTAAACACTTTTTTGTGGAAGACCCTATGAGAAGAAGAAAAGACACGCTGCGCACTGGTAGGAAATATTTGCAAACCACACGTCTGACGAGGATAGGTGTCTAGAATTCGGGAAGAACGTTGAAGACCCAGCAGTGAAGGAACAAACAATCTGATCAGAAAACAGAGAAAAGACATGAAGAGTCATGGTATGTAAAGGGATGCGGAGGTGGCAAGTAAGCGCATGAAAAGATTCTCAACATCATTAGTCACTAGGGAAACACAAAGTAGAGCCACAAGGAAATGCAACTACATACATGTGCCAAGTGGCTAAAATAAAACGCAGTGACCATACCAAAGCTGGCGAGAACATGGAGAAAAATAGTTGTTCATCCATCACTAGTAGGAACAACCACGCTGGGAAAAACAGTTTGACAGTTTCTTAAGAAGTCAAATATGTAACAACCAAGCAATTGCTCTCCTAGACATTTACTCCAGAGAAATGATTTATGGTCACACAAAACCCACACACAAATGCCTATAGTATCTTCATTCTTAATAATCAAAACTTGGGAGCTACAGCAATTAAAA